TGCTGTTTTGTGCTGCAGGGAAATTACAGCACAGAGAGAGAGAGTGTGTGTGTTAATGTGTGGGTGGGGGGTCAGACCGGCTGAGCAGTGTGTGTGTGTGAGTGTGTGTATGTGTGTGTGTGTGTGTGTGTGCGCGTGTGTGTGTGTGCGCGTGTGTGTGTGTGTGTGTGTGTATAAGTGTCATGCAGCAGTTTAAACGTCTATTAGAGAGAGTTAATTATAGAGCATCCAAACTGCAGCTCCATCATCACCCAGACAGGACAGTAATGAGGAAAATGACCAGGCCTCACTCTGCAGCCCCCCACAGTGCTGCATCACCCCAAACACTCAGCCCACTGTTCCCATCAGTAGCGCTTTGATTTAGCACATTTTGGCCTTTGAACTGATACTGGACTAGACTGGCCTGAACTGGTCTGAACAGATGCTGGATTAAACTGAACTGATACTGCACAGGACCGGACAGGACAGGACAGGACAGGACAGAACAGAACAGAACCACAGAACAGAACCTGAACTGAACTGAATTAAACTGGATTGGACTGAACTGAACTGAACTGAACTGGACTGAACTGGATTGGATTAGACTGAACTTGACTGGACTGAACTGGATTGAATTGTATTGGACTGAACTGAACGGAACCGAACTGAACGGAACTGAACTAAACTGGACGGGATGAGACAGGGAAGAGGCGGGACTGGACTGGACTGATACTAAACTGAACTGATACCGATACTGAACTGGACTGGGCGGGACGGGACAGGACGGGACAGGACTAGACTGAACTGAACTGGATTGAATTTAACTGAATTGGATTGGAATTGAATTGAATTTAACTGGATTGGATTGGATTGGATTGGACTGGACTGGACTGGACTGGACTGAATCGAACCGAACAGAACTGATACTGAATTGATATTGAACTGAACTGATACTGAACTGAACTGATACTGAACTGATCTGAACTGATCTGAACTGATAGTGAACTGAACTGATACTGAACCGATGCTGATACTGAACTGATGTAAACTGTACTAAACTGATTGTTTTAGCTGGACTGACTGAGCGCCTCTCGTGTTCACATTACTCCTGGAGTGTTTTCCTCCGTGTGTGAATAATGTTCTAAATATACTCTCCTGCATCATTAGAGCCAATCAGCTCATTCTTTGGCTCCAGACTATGTGGCTGTTATTGTTAGCAGGCTAAGTCCTTACTGAAGTAAAACAAATTATAGCCTCTCTCTCTCTGTATCTCTCTCTCTCTCTCTCTCTCTCTCTCTCTCTCTCTCTCGCTCTGTCTTTCCCTACACCAGTGTGTCTTCAGAGTTTTTTTCCGCTGTGTTGACGTGTAGGCACACGCCTTTGACTAAGAAAGAGAACATCCCAGAATAACATCAAAGTAAACACTGGTTCCAGCTGAAAGAGAGTGAAGGAGAGAAAGAGAGAGAGAGAGAGAGAGAGTGCAGAAACACGAGGAGAGAGAAAGAGAGAGAGAAGAAAAATGGAGACAGAAGGAGAGAGAAGAAAGAAGTGAAGCAGAGAGAGAGAAAAAGGAGAGAGAGAGATAAAGAGAGAGAGAGAGAGAGACATAGAGAGAGAGTTGATGGTGTAATGTTGAGGTTAGTGGTGGTCCCACCCAGCAATGCTGTAAAATCTTTTCTTTTAAAGACTGAGGTTAAAGACAGGGTGTGTGTGTGTGTGTGTGTGTGTGCGTGTGTGCGTGTGTGTGTGCGTGTGCGTGTGTGTGTGTGTGTGTGTGTGTGTGTATGTGTGTGTGTGTGTGTGTGTGTGTCAGTGGGTGGGATTTCTCCAAAGACTGTGTCATGAACGCTGTCAGGATGTGATGTAATCAGCTGAGAGGGATCTATACTGTAAGTGTGAGAAAGAGAACTGCTTTACATCCATCAGTGAGTCATCAAAGCCTCTGGGACGGGACGAGTCCAGCTACTTTATCTACCATAAAACAAATCACAGAAATAATCCCAGGTTATAATAATCCTGTGCTGTCAAATTAACCATAGAAATTACCTCAGGTTATATTAATCCCAATGCTATAAAACCCAGGGTAGTATTAATCCTGTGCTGTAAAACGGATCATAGAAATAACCCCAGGTTATGTGAATCCTGTGTTATAAAACCCAGGTTATAATAATCCCATGATATAAAATCCAGATTTATTTTAATCCTGTGCTATAAAACAAACCATAGAATAAAAACAGGTTATATTAATCCTATACTGTGAAACCCAGGTTATGTTAGTCCCATACTATAAGACCCAGGTCTCATCATTCTAATCATGCTATAAAACGAACCATATAAATAACCCAGGTTATATTAATCCCATGCTATAAAATACAGGTATTAATACTATTCTATAAAACCCAGGTTATATTAATCCTGTGCTATAAAACGAATCATAGAAATAAACCCAGGTTATATTAATCCCATACCATAAAACCCAGGTTATATTAATCTCATGCTGTAAAACCCAGGTTATATTAATCCCATACTATAAAACCCAGGTTATATTAATCCTGTGCTATCAAACGAATCATAGAAATAAACCCAGGTTATGTGAATCCCATACTATAAAACCCAGGTAATATTAATCCCATGCTATACAACCCAGGTTATATTAATCCCATGCTATAAAACCCAGGTTATATTAATCCCATGCTATAAAACCCAGGTCATATTAATCCCATGTTATAAAACCCAGGTCATATTAATCCCATATTATAAAACCCAGGTCATATTAATCCCATGCTATAAAACAAACCATAGAAATAACCACAGGTTATGTTAATCCCAAGCTATGAATCCCAGGTTACATTAACCTAATACTTTGAAACCCAGGTTATATTAACCCTGTGCTGTGTGTGTATGGAGGCATTTGGGAAAGCACTTACTTGTATTTTCTGTCCCCAAATCAAGCCGATATGTGAGAGAATGCTATGTACAGCTGCATTAATACATTTAAAATGAAAGGTTATTTTATTAGTTTGAGGCAGTGATGCTGCCTGCTGGCTGTAATGACACACAGCGTTCACTCAGGACAGCTAGGAAGGTGGTCAGAGTAACTAAACAGCGGCTCAGTTATACGTTTCTACTCGTTTGTGGAGTGAAGGCAGTGCGTAAATCGAGTAGCCGCTCCCATCTCTGTCATTTACACAGAGATTTCTGATCTAATGAGAATCGGTCGTAAACTTTACAGACGTCCTGTGGCAGAAGTGACTCCCCCCTCCGCCCCCAGGGAGAACTATCCCATATCAGTGAAGTACTAAAGCACTAAAGAGTGCTTTTCAGTGGAGTGAGAGCAGAGCGTTTGAGGAGTGTCAGTCAGACAGGTGTGGACATTTACGCAAGAGTTACTCTTCGCACACACCGGCTCGTCTGATGGGGGATGAGGAATGTGACTCAGCGTTCTCTCTCACTTCATCTCAGTTCTGACCGTGGTGGAAAGCTGTAGATGACTGTGTGTGTATTTTTCAACAAAAGCCTCTAAAACTGAAACACCAGCCGTTTCTTTATGTTTATGGTGCTTACATCATAGAACTCATACTATATATATATATCGCTGTTGTCGGAAGAAAACCTCCAAAATAGCAACTTTACAGGAGAAGGAAAAAACCTAATTTACCTTTAATGTAAGTCAATGGAACCAGACGTTTTTCCTAGTAATTTTAGGCCGTTTGTTTTGGTCTGTTCTTCATGAAATTTACACACAATGTAAAGAGCAACAGATATTTTCAAATTTTGTCAAAAACTAAAAAACGGAAAAAATGGAGATGTTTTCTTCCGACAACAGCGATATATACGCACGTATATATGTTTATAATCATTATACGTTATGTTATATCATATTATATAAAACATTATTATATTATATTGTTACATATTAGTATTATTACAATGCATGTATAATTATTATTAGGGTCATATTATATATGTAATGTATAAATATTTTACTATTACATATAAGTGCTTAGGTGCTTTTATATATATATATATATATATATATATAATATATACACAGTGCTGTGAAAAAGTGTTTGCCCCCTTCCTGATTTCTTATTCTTTTGCATGTTTGTCACACTTAAATGTTTCAGATCACCAAACAAATTTAAATATTAGACAAAGATAACACAAGTAAACACAAAATGCAGTTTATAAATGAAGGTCTTTATTATTAAGGGAAAAAGAAATCCAAACCTACAGGGCCCTGTGTGAAAAAGTGATTGCCCCCTAAACCTAATAACTGGTTGGGCCACCCTTAGCAGCAACAACTGCAATCAAGCGTTGGCGATAACTGGCAGTGAGTCTTTTACAGCACTGTGGAGGAATTTGGCCACTCATCTTTGCAGAATTGTTGTAATTCAGCCACATTGGAGGGTTTCCGAGCATGAACTGCCTTTTTAAGGTCGTGCCACAGCATCTCAATCGGATTCAGGTCAGGACTTTGACTAGGCCACTCCAAAGTCTTAATTTTGTTTTTCTTAAGCCATTCAGAGGTGGACTTGTGTTTAGAGGTGATGGTGTGTTTTGGATCATTGTCTTGCTGCAGAACCCAAGTGCACTTCAGCTTAAGTGTCACGAACATGCAAAAGAATAAGAAATCAGGAAGGGGCAAACACTTTTTCACACCATTGTGTGTGTGTGTGTATATATATATATATATATATATATATATATATATATATATATATATATATATAACAAATGGGACATTGTATTATCATTATACACTTGTACTTACATATAAAACCTAAAATTCTCCAAAATTTACATGATACATTATATGATACATATATATGACTCTGCAACCTGATAAGGTATAAAAACAAATGTGTGTGTGTGTTTTCTTCTTGTTTGCGTATCAGCAAAGCATGGAAAGAGTTAATAACAAATAGTAACCTCAAACATCTATACATTATATCTAGGTATGTTGTATGTTGTTAATGAGGTTACTAAATACGTTGGTTTGTTTCTTTGTTTGTTTGCAGGTGCGTGAGATCCTGGGTCAGTGCTCCTGTCCGTCTCAGTTCCCCATGACTAAGGTGTCGGATGGGAAGTATAAAGTGGGCGACTCCAGCGCCCTCATCTTCATCAGGGTACGATCTTTCACCTTTTGGCCTCCTCAGTCTCATCATCGGTGATTTATTCCCTCCTCTGTTTGTTCTGTCAATACAGAGAGTCACTTTATCCTGGATTTAATGATCTCGGGACCCTCCTTATCCACACCCACCCCACACGACCCCCACCCACCACCACAATGGGCTAATAAATACTGTGCAATGCTTGAAGTAGCACTTGGCAGCATATTGTTTATACTGGTATGCTGGAATTTTAACACCACAATATCACACTGATATCAGCAGAAAACGCTGGATCGTACTTTACCCTGTTCTTCAGTGGACAGGACCCCCACAGGACCCCCATAGAGCAGGTATCATTTGGGTGGTGGATCATTCTCAGCAGTAACACTGACGTGGAGGTGGTGTGTTAGTGTGTGTTGCGCTGGTGTGAGTGGATCAGACACAGCAGTGCTGCTGGAGTTTTTAAACACCTCAGTGTTGCTGCTGGACTGAGAACCGAAAACATCCAGTCAACAGCGTCCTGTGGGCAGCGTCCTGTGACCACTGATGAAGGACTAGAGGATGACCAACACAGACTGCGCAGCAGCAGATGAGCTATCGTCTCTGACTTTACATCTACAAGGTGGACCGACAAGGTAGGAGTGTCTAATAGAGTGGACAGTGAGTGGACAGAGTGTCTAAAAACTCCAGCAGCACTGCTGTGTCTGATCCACTCGTACCAGCACAACACACACTAACACACCACCACCACGTCAGTGTCACTGCAGTGCTGAGAGTGATCCACCACCCAAACAGTACCTGCTCTGTGAGGGTCCATGGGGGTCCTGACCATTGAAGAACAGGGTAACAAAATGTGCAGAGAAGCAGATGGACTACAGTCTGTAACTGTAGGACTACAGAGTGAGACTATACGGTCAGTGGAGCTGATAAAATAGACAGCGAGTGTAGAAACAAGGAGGTGGGCTTGAAACTCTCATAGGTCCCACAGGTCTGTTTTTAGAACAGGGGCTTTTGTAATGATTTGAACTGTTAAGTGGTCATTCTGAGGCCTGAATGGTGTTTACAGTCTGATCCAGACTCTGTGTGTTATTGTGTTGTATCTAAACTCCACCACACCCGTCCATACAAACCCTGAACACAGAAATAGAGGCCTAGGTCATTTCCTCTGCCTGCCTCACCTTACGGGCTGCTTGTGTTTGGTATTCTTGACTGTGCCATGTGTCATTGACCTTCAGAATTCATATCAAAAGCAGGCTGTAATTACATACTACATATATATATATATATATATATATATATATATATATATATATATATATAAGACTTAATCACTAGTATTAAATGAACAGCTCACTATATTGTTCTACAGTTTCTCATTAGGCTGAATGAATAACTGACTCTAAATGTAGGTATTGTGATATAAACTGAGTCTGTTCTACAGTTTCTCATTAGGCTGAATGAATAACTGACTCTAAATGTAGGTATTGTGATATAAACTGAGTCTGTTCTACAGTTTCTCATTAGGCTGAATGAATAACTGACTCTAAATGTAGGTATTGTGATATAAACTGAGTCTGTTCTACAGTTTCTCATTAGGCTGAATGAATAACCGACCCTAAATGTAGGTATTGTGATATAAACTGAGTCTGTTCTACAGTTTCTCATTAGGCTGAATGAATAACTGACTCTAAATGTAGGTATTGTGATATAAACTGAGTCTGTTCTACAGTTTCTCATTAGGCTGAATGAATAACCGACTCTAAATGTAGGTATTGTGATATAAACTGAGTCTGTTCTACAGTTTCTCTTTAGTCTGAATTGGATTTTTTACCAGTGCTCTGTAAAGCTTGTCCAACCCGGCAACAGTAGCTATGAATGAGCACGTTTGTGGGCGGAGCCTGGATTACATTACTAACGATATGACTTTGCATTAAGAGAATGACTGTAATACATAATCCAGCAGACTCACAACCTGTGGGGGTGACAGAGCGGCGGTGTGTGAGTGTGTGTAGGTGGGCACGGTGCCAGCTCACAGATGTGCTTTCTCGCTATGGCAACGGCACGGAGTCACCCAGTCATGTGATCATCTTTGTAGCATGTTGTCAACAAACCTGATACTACACACTTTAATCTGGAGAGAGAGAGAGAGAGAGAGAGAGAGAGAGAGAGAGAATGAAGGGGAAGAGAGAGAGAAGGGGAAGAGAGAGAAACAGAGAGAGGGAGAGAAAGAGAAGGGGAGGAAAGAGAAACACAGTGAAGGGGAGAAAAGAGAGAGAGGGACAGACACAGAAGGGGAACAGAGAAACTGAGAGAAGAGAGAGGAAGAGAGGGGGAGAAGAAAGAAGTAGAAGGTAGAGAGAAAGATAGGAGGGGAGAAGAGATAGACAGAGAAAGGGAGAGAGACAGCAGGAGAGAAAGAGAGAGAGAAGGGGAAGAGAAAGAAGGGAGGAGAGAGAAACAGAAGAGAGTGGAAGAGGCAGAAGGTAGAGAGAGAGAGACAAAAAGGAAGGGAGAAGAGAGAGAAGGAGAGAAGAGAGACAGACAGAAAAAGAGGGATAGAGACAGAAGGAGAGAGAGAGAGAAGGGGAGGGGAGAGAAACAGAAAGAGAAGGAGAGAAGAGAGAGGAGGAAAAAGAAACAAAGGAAAAGTGAGAGACAGAGGGGGAGAGAAAAAGAAGGAGAGGAGAGAGAAACAGGGAGAGAGAGAAAAGGAGGGAAAAGAGAGGAAGAGGGGGAGAAAAGAGGTGCAGAAGGTAGAGAGAGAGAGAAAGAAGGGGAGAATAGAGAGGGAGAGAGACAGTGGGAGAGAAAGAGAGAGAGACAGAGGGATAGAGGAAGATAGAGAGAAAAGAACGATCAAAGCGGAGGAGAGTGAAGCAGAGAGAATGAGAAAGAGAGACACAGTTAGAGAGGTGGGGAGAGACAGAGAGAGAGAGATGGGGAGAAGAGAGGCAGAAGGTAGAGAGAGAGAGGAGTAGGAAAAAGAAACAGAGAGGAAAAGTGAGAGAAAGAGAGACAGTGTTGACACTATGTAATATAATATTAGTGGAATCAGTTGTTCTCTCTCTCTCTCTCTCTCTCTCTCTCTCTCTCTCTCTCTCTCTCTCTCTCTCTCTCTCTCTCTCTCTCTCTCTCTCTCTCTCTCTCTCCCCCTCTCTGTTGGGATGGGGAGCTGCTGATGCTAATTTTCTTTTCTCTGAGTGCCGTCTGAAAGGGGAATGAATGACAGAGAATAAAAAGAAAGAAAAGGATACATAGAGAGGAAAACAGGAGGGGATGGAGAGAGACAGAGAGAGAGACCCGGCCTAATAATAGTGTGTTGTCATGGTAATGAGGGGCGGGGAGGGGGGATGCCAAAAGTAATGTTATGTAACTCTATGTGTGGTATTTTGGAGTGTGTGTGTGTGTGTGTGTGTGTGTGTGTATGTATGGTGTGTGCGCGATGGATGTGTGAGTTTGTGTGTGTGTATGTGAGTGTGTGTGAGTGTGTGTGAGTGTGTGTGTGTGTGTGTGTGTGTGGCACATGTAAAAAAAGAGCAGCAGATGAATAAATGAATGAATGAATCAGATAATAAAAGGTACTAGAATTGAAACATGGGGATATGAGCAAATGAATGAATGAATCACTAAATCAATTATTCAATGAAGTACTGATTTAATCAATGAATGAATCACTGAATCAATTAATCAATCACTGAATCAATTAATCAATCAATTACTGATTTAATCAACGAATGAATCACTAATTTAATCAATGAATGAATCACTGATTTAATCAATGAATGAATCACTGAATCAATTAATCAATCACTGAATCAATTAATCAATCACTGAATCAATTAATCAATCAATTACTGATTTAATAAACGAATGAATCACTAATTTAATCAATGAATGAATCACTGATTTAATCAATGAATGAATCACTGAATCAATTAATGAACGAAACACTGAATCGGTGAATGAATGAATCGGATAATGAAGGATACTGGAACTGAAAGGACGTGTGAGCGAATGAATGAATACATCACCAAATCTGTGCTGGGATGAATCAGTGAATGAATGGCTACCAGAGCTAGACCTGCAGTTTGAGTCATAAATGTCAAAACAAAAAAACCTACATCTCTACGATATCGCTAGTCTGTATTAGCGCCCCTATGGGATTTCTGTGTTAGCATGTTAGCAGATTGGCCACTCTAGACTGAACACAGACATCTGAAGCTTGTTAAAGACATTATGTGTTTTATTTGAAGCTTTTAACAGACATTAACATATATTAACATTAACATGTACAACCGAAACTCCTCCCTGTTCAACCAAATCTCCTCCCAGTACAACCAAATCTCCTCCCAGTGCAACCAAAACCCCTCCCAGTACAACTGAAACTCCTCCCAGTACAAATGAAACTCCTCCTAATGCAACCAAAACTCCTCCCAGTACAACTGAAACCCCTCCTAGTACAACCGAAACCCCTCCCTGTTCAACCGAACCTCCTCCCAGTACAACCAAAACTCCTCCTAGTACAATCAAAACCCCTCAAAGTACAACCAAGACACCTCCCAGTACAAGCAAAATTCCTCCCAGTACAACTGAAACTCCTCACAGTACAACCAAATCTCCTCCCAGCAAACCAAAACCCCTCCCAGTACAACCGAAACTCCTCCTAGTACAACCTAAACCCCTCCCAATATAAAACAAACCCTTCCCAGTAAAACCAAAACCCCTCCTGGTACAACCGTAACCCCTCCTGGTACAACCAAAACCCCTCAAAGTTCAACCAAACCTAGTCCCAGTACAACTAAAACCCCTCCCAGTACAACCAAAATTACTTCCAGTGCAACCAAAATTCTTAGTACAACCAAAACTCCTCCCAGTACAACTGAAACTCCACCCAGTACAACCGAAACCCCACCCAGTACCTAAGAGTCATAATCTACTTCCAGAAGACTTAGTGACTTTTTTACAAGATCCAACCCACCCATTACAAATCAAGGTGTGGTTGGTTGGTTCTTCTGTCGCTTGGTAGTTAATCTAATGTGTAAGGCCTTCAGTCCAGCTCCTGAAGTCCTGACCAATGGGAGAGCTCGCTTTGCTTTATCTACCTACATTCTAGCAGGGAAACAAGAATCCTGATTGGACAGTTTTCCTTTTAAAGACTCAAACCCTTTTGTAACATAATGAATGACATAATTCATATGTAATTTCCGTGTTTTCTCAGGTGCTGCGGACCCACGTGATGGTGCGTGTGGGCGGGGGCTGGGACACGCTGGAGCATTACCTGGATAAACACGACCCCTGTCGCTGCAATGCCTTCGGTGAGCTCATTTCCTGTCCTTCTGCCCTCACTTCCTGCCTCACAACCGCTCGACAACCTCCAGATGTCTCCATTAGAGTCATTAGTGCCGCGTGGGCACCACCAACGAGCACATTCAGTTTCACAATCGACTACTATATTCAGGTTTTTCGTGTTTAGCCGTGGTTTTTTTGCGGTTCAGACTGTTCAGAGGAGCAGTTCCTCTCTCAGTTCCTGGGCTGATTCACCGTCCATGGTCTTTAACGCTTGACGTCAAAAAAAACTCCACAGACTTATTATTAGTCACACTTTATTTATGGATCATAATCATTGTCCAAAAACAAACACACAGGTGTGTAGAGTAGCCTGAAGCCAGCCGCCAGTAAAAGTACTGGTACTGCAGTAAAAGTAACAGTACTTTTCATAAAAGAACAGAAGTGGTTAAAAAATCAGGGGAGTTCAGCTTCTCAAAATCTCTGTGATTCCAGAGTGATTCAGAGGGGTTTGGTGTGAAATGGTTGATTGAAGAAACTCAGATTTCTTCACAGTGGTGGTGATAGGAACCAGGGGTCGCCATGACTACAACACAAATATAGCTAGAGCTGGACAATATGGCAAACATATAATATGACATTTTCACGATTTACAATATGTCACAACATTTATTGTTTCAGACATCTGATTAGCTGGAACAAAGTTCGCAACCCAAATGTTAAGAAGATCCATTTTGTCCTTTCAACAAAAATCTGACCACCCTGGGAGCCACAACGTTTTATGTCCATTATACAGTCTTGGCTGTAAATATGTTTCAGTATGTGTTAATGTACTAGTATAGGCTAAAAATATAATATGAATGAAAACACAAACTTACTTTGCTCTGCTTTAAGCTTTAGCTCAGCTATAGCCACTTCTCTCGCATCTCCGGCAGGAAACTTTTCCTCCAAAGTAAAATAGTTTCTTGTAAAATGTCAAAAAACGTTCAGTTTTTTTACAAGTCAGCTCCTCATTCACCAGATTCTTGTTCAAACTTTCCCATTCCACCTTAAATGGTGCCTGGGGCACCAGAATGTAACTGCTGCACCATTTAAGGTGGAACAAAAAAATTCGAACAAGAAGCTGCGAGACTTCAGCCTCGCAACTTTTTAATGTTTGTCAGTTTCTTGTTGCAGATTAAACGTATCCGGAAACCAGCTGGAGTGATTATAAACACAAATAAGTCCAAATCTCAAAATTATCGATGTTCATCTTAAATCTCTCTCTTTGCCGTTTCGTTAGCTACTAGCTAGGCGAGACTGTTGTCTGTGTTGCTATGGTGACAGCAGTCTGCGCTGATCTTCAGGGTTAAAGGGTGAATCAGCAGTTCTACATTAACTCCAGAGTTTAAGACCATTTATTGTTAAACTGTGTTGAACGATCAGCAGAGCTTTATTTTACTGTAAAGGAGGATTATTTTATTTTTACCTACTAATCTGATTCTGCTGTGGAGCCACAACAGGACAGTTAAAGAGCCGCATGCGGCCCCGGAGCCATGTGTTGCCGACCCCTGAGCTGGAACCAAGAAAAAAGAGCCAGTAGTGCTACATCTTAAAAAATACTATCAAAAACTGTGAACACAGTGATTTATATTTAATATTTGGCATACTGTGTTGCAGTAAATCAAAGTCTGTTGACTCGGCAGCCATCTCTGCTTCGCCGCCGGGCAGTTATTTCCATCCATGCAAGACCAGACTCCTTTCTCTCTGAATGGGGAGAGAACAAAATACCCAAAACTTTGAAATCACTGCTAAAATACTTAAAAACCTTATTTTTTTAGTTATTTTTTTGGGTTGTTCTTCACATTTGGTGGCGGCTTTCCTTGCTTGCACCACAATATCGTCAATATCAGTGACTAAATCCAGTTAAACAGGACTAATTTTGCTCTCTTTACAATGAAACATGCAGTTGGTTTGTGTCCTACAAGTACTGATGAAATCCATGATATGCTCAGAGAAGCATATTTTATTGTATTGTGACATCATTTATCACAGTGACAGTATATATTGTCACATTGCCCAGCCCTAAATATAGCCATTTTATTTACGGTCAGTAAACCTACACTGAGTGTTTATGTGTAATATTGATAAAGGTAAAAAAAATGTTTTTTTTGGGTAATACTTTGCCAAATATTGTTTATATACGTTTCAAACCAAAAGCTTATCTCAGAACTACCATAAAACTGTGTGTCTGGCTTCAAGTAACATATTGGTAACCATTCTGTATGATAACTTATGTGAGTTAGCTTTTAAAGTCATTAAGTACTTCAGACGTCTGGTTCCTTTCACCACCAGTGTAAACAAATCTGACTCTCAGTTCCTCTAGAATGGAGCGTTTCACACCAAACCGCTCTGAATGACTCCGTTTACATCTTAGCCATGTAAGATTTGGTGGAATTCCCCTTTAAATACTGAGTAATGGAACTGCAGTGGAACTTCCTACTACATCAGAATAGAAACTGAAAACGAAAGTTTATTAAACTCTGTTGTTCTTTTCTATGTTTTTTGCTCATGAACATAAACTATGGTTCAGAAGTTTGGAATCACCATTTTCAGTAATGCACAGCTAATTTTGTTGCAGATACATTCATAAAATGATTGATTATTCCAATGGATTTTCTGTTTTCGAATATTTTAATTATTAAACTTATTGAATATCATTGAATATTTGTTGCTGACCTAATAGGTGACTTCTGTATTGTGTATTCTGTCCACAGCACACCGATACCAGCAGGCCAAGGCCAGCGGTCAGGCTCCTCACAGTAAAAGCTCCAGCGCTCACTCTTCCCGCTCCACCAGCCCGGGACCGCACTGGAGGGGCGAGTCTATGGCAGCGTATAAAAGCCCTGACCGGCGCTCTCTGGAGCCTTCATCCGCCGGCACGGCCTCGTCTTCCTCACGGCCCGGCAGAACGCACCATGCATCTGCAGACGCAGAGCCCGGGAGGACAGCGGCGACCACACTACTGCCCAGACCCCCTCGAGACCGATCAGAGCCACGCCTCAATCCCCTCAGGTAATAATAATAAACACAATAATAACACACTGTCCAAAAGTTTGCAGACACCAGCGTTGTTTCTGGAATGAAGGCTATTAATAGTGAGTTTGTGCTGCAGTAACAGCTTCTACTCTTCTGGGAAGGCTTTACACTAGATGTTGGAACATTGCTGTGAGGATTTGATTGAGCGTTAGTGAGGTCAGGTACTGATGTTGGATGGTCAGTTCTGGATCACTAACTCATCCCAAAGGTATTGAATGGAGCTCCATTACATTACCACAGCTCCACTGCTCCACAGCCCAGTGTTAGGGGGCTTTATACCCCTCTAGCCAGCACTTGGCATTGCACATGGTGACCTCAGGCTCATGTATGGCTGCTCCAGAGCGTCCCATTCTATTGGTCAGTGGTCTTCTCCTCTCTCTCAAAGATGAAAGCTTTAAGTGCTGTTCATCTGATGGGGGCAGTTTTGGTGTCTACCAGCTCTTCCAGGTGGTTGTTAGGAGCCCCATTTTTGCTGTAATTTAGGCTCCAGTTTAGGAAACTCCTTTATCTCATCAGAAACATCTCCTCCAATCTGAATAACTCGTACTCAGTGGTCAGTTTGACTGGAAATAGATGATGGGTGGTCTCTGACTTGTGCGCAAGGTAGGTGTTTCTAATAAAGTGGCCACTGGGTGGAAGTACAAGGGAGGGGATTCCTGTGGTGGTCCTTTAATTAGCCAGTTCTCTCACTGACCTAGTTACTCAAACAGCCCTGTTAACACAGTGCACTGCATCTTAAGGTTAATACGTGTGCGCACATGTACAGAGGGGAGCAACAGATTGCATCGAGCAGATTTCACTAATCCCAGGTGACATTGGACGTCTGCCACGCTGACCATCCTGCAGTGCCCCCGTGTGGCAGAAACGTAGTACTACACCACACGCCCCTCCTCACTCCTTCTCTGCCTGATTACACCAATGACAGCCTGAATCTGGATGTGTTTCAACCTTTTCTGTTGGTCCCCTTTCCAACAGAATGTGCTGACGCAGCAGAATTAACCCTGAACCCCCCCTTTTCTCTCACTGTACCACGTGCTGTTTATATTAGCTCTGTTATCACACCCTATTAGTGCTCTCTAAACAGCTCTCTGCCCTTATAGTAAAGAAAGGAATTAACCCTGACATTTACCGATAAGGTGGATAGCGTGTTTTGTTAGTCACACTTGGACTGATTTCACTCTCACGTCAGCGGTGCTCCATTGTTTGATGCAATTATGAGCGGCCAGCGGGTTTGCTTTGGCAAGAAGTCTCCATTTCCTCAGGCAGTCCGGTGGAAAAGTCAACGCAGCACACATTAACCCTTAGAAGTCTTGAGTTACTGTCGTTTTAGCGATAATATTAAAATCCAGTGATACAGCTGCACAATTCCTTACTTATTTCTGTTTATTTCAGTCTCAAACAAGTGCTTTCTGCAAAATAAGACTGTCAATACAACAATAAATGTTCATTAAATTCAAATCATAATTAAATATCTCCTGTTCTACTCACTCAAATGTGGGCTGGATTAAAAGTTTACAGTCTGCACTTTCCACAGTATTTCTCTGCTTGTTTCAATGAGCTACACAAAGTTTAAAATGCAATATAAGAAGAGTCAGTTCAAGACGTAAGCACCGCAATGGGCTCTACACTCTTAGAAATAAAGGTTCTGTGCAGGAACATTTTTTGTACATCAAGGCACAAACAGTGTAAATGTTCCCTCAAAGCTCCAACAGTGGTTTTAAGGTCTGATTGTGAACCTTAAATAAGTTTCTCCAGGTGAAAAGTTCGTATTTGTACCTTTTCATAACCGAATGTTTTAAAACAGAACAGTAAAATAAAAGCCTGGAGACGAGACGGGGTGTGTGGAGTCAGTACAGCTTAGAACATATCATTTCAGTGGATTATGGTTCAGTTATGTTCCCTGACTAAAGGTACTGAGATGGACCCTTGAGGGTCCCACCCCAGTGACAAGAGGGGAACTGACCCAGTGACAGTTTACTACCTTTATTTCTGAGAGTGTAGGGGGGTTGACCTTTGTAGTGCTGGACCCTCTGCAGGTGAGACAGGTGGGATTAACAGCAGATTAGCCTAATCTCAGATCTTCCAGTCAGAGAGAGAAGAAACAGATCAGCAAATGGCTAATCTGGGTTAGCCGTCAAGCTGTGCGTCTGGAAAGTAAAATGTCACCCACGTGACTCGTCACGCTTGTCTTGAAGCACAGTTGTCATAGCAGTGTGAAAAATAAGTTAATAAAATGCTTTGATGTTCCATAAATGATACAGAATTTGAACAGAATACATTTTTAATAATTCCCATCAGACTAAATGTTGGACTCTTCAAATTGTCTTTCTCACGCATAATTACAGAACTCACAGGTTTGTTTCATAGTAAATATTTAATATTTTGTTGCATTTATTTAATAATTTATGGTATATACTGAATACGTTATAGTAGAAACTGAAAAATTAATATTAGTTACAGAATAATTTGTAGCAGTTACTGAATAATTCAAAGTACATACTTAAAAAAGATGGTTCTTTATTCAGTATCTACTACTTATTCAACAACTACCGCTAATTATTCAGTATCTACTCTAAATTATTCACTAACAACTATGAAGTAAGTAATGAATGAAGTAACTACTGGATTATTCAGTATCTACTATGAATTATTCAGCATCTATTATGAATTATTCAGCATCTATTATGAATTATTCAGTATCTACTATAAATTATTTACTAACTACTATAATTTAGCAAATACTATTAATTATTCAGTATCTACTATGAAATATTGTGTACCTATGAATTATTCAGTAACTAATATGAATTATTCATTAGCTACACTTTTTAAAAACATGGTTCTTCAAGGGTTCTTTAGTAAAGACAATGGTTCTATACAGAACCAGGAACACTCAAACAACCATTTGCATGATTAAAGGTTTCTTTGCATTGTGAAATGGTTCTTCAGATTGATGGAAAATGCTGAAGAATGCTGTGCTATGTAGAACCGTTTTGAAAAGGGTTGTGTATAGCACCAAAAAGGTTCTTCTGTTGATATGATATCATGCTTGTAACAATAGCAGAACCTTTTTGGTTTTATATAAAACCCTTTTCAAAAAGGTGTATGGCGTGCGTCCGTCCCCTGGACACCGATGACGGCCTCGAGAGCCGGCAGGAAGGCGGGACCCTGGGGATGGGCGCATGCCATGAGGTGCTATATAGAACCCTCTACAACATGTTCTCCATCAATCTGAAAAACCATCTGACAATGCAAAGAATCTCTTAATCATGCGAAGGGTTCTTTAAGTGTTCATGTTTCTATATAGAACCATTTTCTTTGCTAAAGAACCCTGAAGAACTGTCTTTTTTAGGTGTGTAGTTCATGAATATTTCATATTAGGTACTGGATGATTCATAGGTAAACAATAATACATAGTAGATACTGAATAGTTCATGTTTGTTAATGAATAATTTAGAGTAGTTGCTGAATAATTAGTGGTAGTTACTGAATAATTCATAGTAGTTACTGAGTAATTCATAGTAGATACTGAGTAATTCATAGTAGACACTGAATAATTCATAGTAGATACTGAGTAATTCACAGTAGACATTGAATGATCTAGTAGTTACTGAATAATTCATATTTGTTAGTGAATAATTTAGAGTAATTGCTGAATAATTAGTGGTAGTTACTGGATAATTTATAGTAGTTACTGAATAATTCATATAGAATACGTCTTAAGCTTAATAACTGCAGTTTAAAGGGTTAAACTCTTTTGGTCTGAGCTTGAATTTGGGCACGTCAGCAGGATCAGAAATGAATGAGGTCAGAAATGGCCATGCAGTGTAGAATGAAGAGTACTAATACGTCTGTTTATATAACGTCCAGTTACACAATTGACACAAAAACACAAATTTCTCAAGATTATTCACAGGCTGAGTCGAACGATCTCAGTCTGAACGTCCGCTGGCAGTCGGTGAACCGTGGAGTGGTTTTTGATTAAAAGAAATGTAGCAGAAAATATGTTCTCGAAAAGGTCAAAAATGCCTCTGAAACATCTGACTTGTGTTTGTGTTCTGTGTAATCAGTAATTCCACAGGCTCACTAATCCTCCATCCTCCTGTGATCACTGCGCTAATCTGAAAGCATTTTCCCGCCGTTTCGGGGAACGACTGCCAGCCATGTGCTGTGTCCACACTAATCAACTTCCAGCATGCTTTGCACATACTTTCCCCTCAAGCTCATTGGCAGAGAGTCCCCAGTGAAAGGCCAGGTGAAAACTGAGCAGAGTAATGCATCTACGCCATATGTCCAAAAGTCTGTAGACAGCAATGTTTCTTCTGAAATGAAGGGTATTCATAGTGAGTTTGTCCCCCTTTGCTGCACTAACAGCCTCTAATCTTCTGGGAAGGCTTTACATTAGATGTTGAACATTGCTGTGAGGATTTGATTGAGCATTGTTGAGGTCAGGATGTTGGATGGTCAGTTCCCAAAGGTATTGGATGGAGCTCCATCACTCCAGAGAACGCAGTTCCACTGCTTAACAGCCCGATACTGGGGGGGGGGGGCTTTACACCCTTCCTGTCGACACTTGGCATTGCGCATGGTGACCTCAGGCTCATGTGTGGCTGCTATTGGTCAGTGCTTTTCTATGGGGATTACACAAGCTGTGTCAGGAATTGGTGACCTTGAAGTAGCTGAATTCACTCATTAAAAGGAGCGTCTGGATACTTTTGGACAGATAATGTAACTATAATAGCGGCTGGTATCAAATCTATGTATTTCTTAAGATCACACACTAAACATCTGCTTATTAACAACCTGCATCAACAGCCTGTCTCAGCAGGTGTATAATGATGTGATTGAACATCTGGAGCACTCTGGGTTGCCAGATTCACAGTTATTAAGCACGCTTATTGTTTCACTACCATAACCCTATCCTACATAATGCCTTGCCAGCGATCCTTTCAGAGACCCTTTAACTCATTAAAAGAGTAGTTAAGAGTAGTCCTATCCCTGTATTAAAGAAGCTCTATGCTGCCTTTGTAGTTGTATGCACTGCAGCAGTTTCTGAGACACATCCAGAATGCAGTTCACATTGCTGTGGAAACGTTTTTTGATTTGTTTTGTCAGAATAACAATAAAAGGGCTAGTTTGTGGCACATACATATCATACGTGTCCAAATAAATATGACAACGGCATTAGAAAGTAGTTAAAATGTAGAAATAAGTGCTTTATTGCTTTATTTTTCACAATTTTCTCTTGTTAGTTAGACACTAATCTCTCTCTCTCTCTATTTTTCTCTCTCAGGAATAAGGACTCTCTCTTGCCGTTGACTCGTCGGCTCTCTGGAGACAGTGATTCCTCCACTGCATCCTCGAAAGGTGGCAGTGGAGGAGCAGGTGGAGGCCGTTTGTCTTTGGGAACTCGTCGCACTAATGGGGAGGAGGTGGTCCTCTTGGTCAACCGGAAAGAAGGCAAGCACGTCATTGAGCGCCCAGAGGGTGGAACCCAGATCCCTTCCCTGCGTCCCCCTCAGACCAGAGCTCGCAGCGCCTCCAGAGAACGACCTGCACCCCCGTCCTCCATTCTCAAACCTAGCCCACCCCAGGGCCCTGCGGAGGGGAACCGGGCTGCTCGACCAGAAAGGGGCAGGTCTCTAGGGCTGGAGGGGCCAAGAAGGCTCCAAGGTCCCCGCTCCCTCAGTCAGGGTAAAGCTCCTCTACGTGGTAGAGTGAGTGAAGCTAGCCCTGTATCCCCTCGCCACAGAGACCACAGAGACCCCCAGCCCAAGGACGACCTGAGGCAAAAGCAAGTTCCTCCAGGTTCCCCCCGGTTGAGTGGAGGTCTTTCCAAGCGACAGACATCCTCTTCGGCTTCCAGTTCACCCATCAAAGGGGGCTCTGGAACCAGCAGCCCTGTGAAGAAGAGTGTAGTGACCCCACGACCTCCTGCCCCACGCTCGCCCTCTGTGGGGAGTCGTAGGCTCCTCCCACCTGTCTCTCAGCCAGGACGACGCTCTCCGCACTCCTCAAACAAATCACCTCACCACCACCCACCACGGTCACCTCGGGTGGCACACAGCCCCCGATCCACAGGAAGGCCACAGAGAGGATGGGGTCACCAGCAAGTCCAGGAACCCCAGGAAGACGACATGGGGCTGGGGTTCGGGTTCCAGCCGCTGTCTGGCCAGGAAGCTGCACAGCGTGAGATGGAGCTGTACCGCAGCTTTGAGGCCGAGTTCCTGGCGAACACGCAGCAGCAACAGGCTCAAGCCGGCCAGACCAGAGCATCTGCCACAAAGGAAGTAGGAGCTTTGCTTCCTGTCTCCTCCCAGCATGGCTTTGGAGTGCTGGGTGATCCCAACGTGACAGATTCAGCATACTCTTCCTCCAATTCTTCTTCCTCCTCTCTAAACGTGGGAGGAAAACTGCCCGATTTACGGGAATCAAAACGGACTCGGAACTGTGCCCTGGAGGACCCCCCTGCACTGCTGCACAGCCAGACCCGAGTCGGCCTCCCCAATGGTGGTCTACGGGAGCGGGAACGATGGACTGGTCTTGGTGGGGGTCTCCGAAAACTCCCCGCCATCTCCAGCTCAATGGAGGAGGGCGAGCAAGTCCGAGAATCAGACTTAAGACTCCCTTATGCCCCCCGGCAGGTAAACGGGGTTCCCCTGGGTCTCCCCCTTGCTGAGGTGCCCATGGATGCACAGCTGGACTGGGCTGGGGTGGAAGGTGATGTTCCATTGGACGATCACCGCCCAAATCTACCCTACGACCATAAGGATGCTAACGCTAACACTAATGATGACCTCCCCCTTCCAGAGACGTTCCCTTCCCCCTTGCCGCCACCTCCAGAAGACTGCTCCTACAACGACTCCTCCAGTGAGAGCTCTTCTATGTGTTTTAGTCTGAGTGAGCCTCTTTCAGATGGATCCTGCACCCCTCCGCCTCCTTCTCTGGCTAACGGAGACACCGAAAACACAGTTGTCCTCCGTGCCAAAAAGGGGCAGAAGAAGGCGGAGAGGGTGCCTTCCATCTACAAGCTCAAGCTGCGGCCGCGGATACGGCCTCGTACCGACAACAGGCCGGAAAACAGTCCGTCGAGAATTCCGACGCCGGTCAGCTACAGAGACCAGCACCACCGACAACAACGGTCTCCTGCAAATCTTTCTCCCCTTCAGACGCCCCCACAGTCGCCACGATCTCACAGACACGCACCTTCCCACAAAGCTCTGCACCAAGCCTTCGCCGATCTCATCCACCCTCAGCAGAGATCACCCGCCATGGGATCCAGAGAGCGCTCTTTCTCCCCGGAGTCCAGCCTGGACGGAGAGGCCTGGATGTAGCACAGTGTTTGTATGACGATGCTAAATATAGCTGAAGATGTAAACCCGTTGATACGGGGTCATGAATGTATCGCCGCAGGTGATAAGCAAAGCATGACAAAGATAACTGGGGATAAAGAGACTTCCTTATTGATATTATAAGGTCACGAGCAGATCACCAAAGCATAACGTTGTTGACGAGAAAGGTCACCGTCTGTCCTCGCTCTCTCCTGTGCAAGTGAAGGCACAGTGGGATCACAAGGAAAATGGACCAAACCAAACTGTGTCAGAAAAGACTGGAGTCGGAAAGCTGTCATGTAGCAAGACGCTAGAGTGCTAACTACTGGGGCCAAATGATGGCAAAGGATTACATCGTTTAGCACATTCAATCACTGTCCATGGATAAATCAGAATCACCGATAAGCATGTCACGAATTTCTCATGTTGCAGCTCAGCCTGGTCTCTTTCCTCTGTTTGCTCGACTCAAAAAAGTCATGGAAATGGAAATAAAACTGGGTGACTCTTTATTTGAAGGCTACCAACAGAGGGCGCATCACTGTCCAAAACAAAAAGATGTGGTTTTATTTTTGTCAATTTTTTTCCTTTATATGTGCAACTGTCCTTAATCTTGTGTAAGAATTTCATTATGAATAGACCAATCGAAATGCTCTAAAATCGTTTTATTACGTTAATTTACATCACAAGTTAAGAATGCTTTTGCTTTCTTATGTAAAATTACAATTTTGGAGATACCTTTTTTTGGGACAGCGATAATAAGCGTTGAATAATGCATATTAATACTTGCTTATCCCAGCAATCACAAGGTGGCATAAGATTTTTTAGGTAGGAAATTATATTTTATTGACATAAACTGAAAGTTCTATTTACAAAGCGTCATAATAATTGAATTTAAAAGGCAGGAGGCTGCTGGTCAGTTCAGTTTCCACTATGTCAAACCAATATCATCTTATGTCATCTTGCAATTACTGGCACTGGCTATTAATAAATGAATCAAGCATTGCTTCAGAAATGTGTTATGCAATGCAGATGCATGTGTCATGAAGTGCCTACGTAGGTAGCCTTCAAATAAAGCGTAGCCAGAAATTGCTACCAAAGGATTACCATTGAAAGGATGTCGGGATACCAGCTTAGCATGCCGTTTGTCTTTGTTTGCGGCGAAGGATTTGCTTCCGTCATGCTAATTGTGAAATTGTGGCTTGTCGCTGTGTGGTTCAGAGCTCTGTCGAATGTGTACCATCTGCACAGCTCAGGAACACCAAGAGGAGGAAATGAGAAGATGACGAAAGACCCTCCGCTCGAGCGTCTCTGAAAGACAAAGGGCTGTGTTCTCCAGATGTGTCACACTCACCTTACTGAGAAATGGTGAACAGAAACTTCCGTTTCCAATGGAAGTGAGACTTCCACTCAGATTTCCCTTTCACAAGGACCCTGATCGTGTCCTTGTTGTCGTGAGTCACTCCGCAGACAGCTTCCTGAGGTCTGACCTGGACCCATAAGATGATGTCCTCTCCAACTGTCCTACAGAGAGACAGATCTCTTGTATTGCTACTGTCCACTGGTCAGCGAAGCTCCTGCTTTTAGAACCATACTTTACGCTTTTAGGACTTTAATTTTACCAATCAACCACCACTTTTTAATATGTTTCAGGTTGTAGTTGTTAAGTTTTAATCAATTTTGAAAACAATCTTTCCTTGTTTTATGAAATAACTATTTTTTTAATTGATGGGGTTGAAGCAGTAGACAGCTGGAGCTACTACAGGGCTAGACGGCATCGGCCTTTTCCTCGCTGAATGTCCGAATGCTTCAGAAATGTCCCCAGCATCCTTTTTGCTATAATATTGCCTCTTATTTGAACTTTTTCGCTCTGTTAGTTGGCGATTGGAGGATCGATCTCTGTGGTGGCGCTAAGTTCTCACAGGGCCAGACTTGATCTCATAACGAGAATACACTTCTGGGTAATTTGTTAGTCTTTTGGTGCTGATTTGCAGCTCTAAAACTCCCCCCAGATTCCTCTAGTACGTGCTGTTTAAGCATCTGGAGTACAATCAATAACACAAGCAAACCAAGCTAGCTATCGTTAGCTAACTGTACGGTCAGCTTGTAAGGGTTCATGTTTATTTCTACTGCTCTGCATGCATAATTGGACTTTTCATGCTAACTTATGTTACATCCATGGGCTAGCGAGCACCTTCCTAGGATGTTCAGACTTAGTTTGTTCCCACCTTAAAAAGTACGTTTCCACCCAAATGTAGCCCAAAGGTTCTCCTGACAGTCTCCAGATGTTCTCGTTACAAAGTCACGTCTGGCCTCGTGAGGCTGCACAAGAAGAGGGAGTTTAGAGGATATTATTTGGCAACCGTCCTGGTGTGAACTACGGCTGCACGATATAAACATAACCCCACATGCCAGTTATAATGCTGCTAAATGCTTATGATACGATCACCGTCCACTTTATTAGGCACCTTGCGTCTACACTTATTCAATGATCCACCACCCAGATAGTACCTCCCCAGTGGTGGTCCTGTGGGGGTCTTGTGCTTTGTATCAGTGCTCTACAAAGTGCACTGATACAGTCATATGCAGACGTTTGGGTGCCCCTGATCAAATTGTGTGATTTGTTGATTTGTTGAACTAAAAATAGCAAAGTTTTTGTTCATTTTAATGCACTATAACTGTTTATTTACTAAATTTACACATATTGGGGAAAAAATAGAGCATAAAATGTGGCACATTTAACATTTTGTGTTTAATTTTTTTCCATTATGTTAAAGCAAATAAATGGAAATTTCGTAGAAAGCTCCCAGTAGAGCCCATGTGTTAAACACAAGGCCCGCGGGCTAAATCAGGCCCGTGACTCAGTCCTCTTCGGCCCGTGAAATGATTTTGATTTCTATTCTTATTAGCCCGTTTCACTCTGAGGTGCACTACAGTCCCCAGCATGCACTGTAACATAGTGTGTGTTCTGACCCCCAACAACAATCTATGGGCCAGCAGTTAGCCTGGTGTCCAGTTCAAGGAAATAGGCAGTTTTGAAAAACTTTTTGAAAAAGTATTTAATACCTATTTTGCTGTTGCAGTTTTGGCATATTTTGAACAAACTATGGCCAATCCCTGCCATATTTATGGCAAAATGTTAAGTGAAAATGAAATAAAAACACAGCTGGCCCACAGATTTGCTGAGATTTTTTAACATGGCGATAAAACATTTAATTGAGACGTTTACATGCGACTGTACAGAAAGTGGACCATGAATGTAGATGTAGATACAAGTAGGTAGTACCTAATAAAGTGTGTGTACCAAAACAGAATGATGATTAAAAAAAACCTGGTGATAAAGATCAACATTTCAACAAATTATTTACCGTTGTTGGTCTTGATGCTCACTATGAAAACTTTGTGATTCATTGCAGCCTTTATATTTCAGCCTTTTGCGATATCCAGATTGCAAAAGCCAAAATTGACCAACACTATATCGTGCAGCCCTAGTGGTCCCATTCAGTTCGGTAGTGAAATTGTTGCAGATCCAACAACAGCTGTCTAGAACTCAAGGCTGGAACTGAGACTGTTTTTGCACCTGTTTTGCCAGCTGACAGTTTCACATTATCCTCCGCTGCGTCTCTGAACCTCCCTTCCTCACGCTAGCCTGACTGTACATGCCATCCTGCTGAATAGCTTGAATAGCACTGTTCAGTAATGATGTTAAATAGCCCACCACTGTTCTCCTGTTATGGCAGTCGCTGAGGTTCACTCCAGGAATCCTATGCTGGGGTCATTTGCTTGCATCAATGTCACGTTTTGGCAAGTATAAAAACGTAGGTAAATATAATGTATTTATGTTGGGGATGAAAAGAATTAAGGTATATGTAATATATGTGTATATGTTTATTGTCTGAACGTGGGGTTGGTGTAGTGTGTATATATATTAACGGAGTCTTAAGATTATTGTATAAAACTGATGCTGTTGGTTTGGGTAATTCTGCCTTAGCTATGCAATATTGCTGAATCGGAAGTGCTGCCTTGACAACTCGTTTTGCCTTAAAGTGTGAGTGAAGTGTGTAAGGGGTGGAATGTTCTGCGTGTGTGTGCATGTAGATTTACTTGGAGCTACTCACGAGCCATCTTAAAGGGGCATTCCGGCCTAAAACCGGAGTTTAGTGTGTTGTTTTGTTATGCAGTTTGTTCTGTAGTGCAGCATCATTGCTTCACAATTTTATATTGTTTGCATTGTCGCTATACATCCTACATCCGTTGAGAATCCCTGCGGTGTCACCAGAGCCGGTTTACCAGGAGGCTGGCCGCTTCCTATTTCCCCCGTTATATCAAAAACAGGACTGCTAAACAGCAGAGGGCGTCTGTGAGCGAGTCCTCAATGAATGGGAGTGAATGGAGCTCAATGGCTAAAAACTACAAGTTAAAATAGTTTCTAATCACTGAACCAGAACTTTCCTTCAATTTTAGAAAGTAGAAGGATGAATTTTACTAAAAAAACAAATAAATCTTACCTATATATTTCCTTTTTTCTACAGCAAACGGGTTTTGGGCAGCAGAACGCTGGCGTTACTGCTACTGAGTGCTGATTGGTTGGCGAGCAGATCAGCTCATTGGCTGTTTGCGCTCACTGCCGTCATGAACGTACATGAGGCGCCGATTTAATCTCATATAACTCGAGTTTAAAAGCTCTTAAAAATACAACAGCAGTGTTAAAATGTTTTATGCTGCTCTGTGTTCAGGAAATGATTGTATTCTTTTATATTAAAAATGTTTAAGCATTTCTAAACTATGATTTTGCTCAAATGCTCAATATCAACCCATTCATTTTAGACTCGCTCGGGAGCGCCCTCTAGTGTTTGAGAAATCCGGAAGACATTACGGAGTGGGAGTTCTCTTCTCTAAGTTCTCTGGAGTCACTCAGTCATGACTGCTATCCTAACCACTGAGCTAAAGACTTAAGAAATGCAACCAAGGTGGCAGTAGCGTTAACTTTTACTTCCGTCATCTGACAAAATTGTAAACAAAACAGCGATTCTATCTTTATTCAGCTGAAAACGGGATCCAGTGACATGTATTTAACCCTTTCGGCCAGAGAAAATGAACCAAACTGATGTAAAATGTAAAAACATTTCAGAACAGCCCATCTGTAGTTTTTCAAAGGTTTCACCTTCGAGACGCATCATCAGAAGGGGTTTTGCTAGCTTTTAAACAGTAAAGTCTCACGGCAGGGTCTACTGAAGCACTGCTGAACGTGAGTATGTGTGTTTAAACAGATGTACTGATGGTTAAATCTTCCGTTTTGGTCGGACTGTCCCTTTAATTTGTCAGATTAAAGTGCTAAAACACAAAACCATCACTCCCACTACAGTAAGATCGCACTGCATCAGCTTTTCTGTGGCGCTGTCTGAACCCGAAGCTCCCCCGTCTGACCTGTGTTTAACAGGGAGAAGGACTAAGGGCTCTTGATGTGGCGAATAGCACAACAATTAAATGTTCTCAAGGGTCTGGAGATCACGCACACTCTTAAAAGGTCCAGAAATGGTTTTTGTCTTGGATGTCGGCCTAAAATGGGTCTGGAGGTACCGTCAAGTTAAATGTAGAACTTTTTAAATTATTTTTATAATTTAAGAGCGAAAATTTCAATTATAAAGGAAACTTCTTAAGACTTTTAATGTGTAAAAATGTACTAATGAAAGGGGAATTCCACCAATTTTTCAGAAGTTCAGCAAGATGTAAGAAACCAGACGTCTGAAGACGCTGCCTGATACCTGAGACATTGTTTTACGATAGTTTTGAAAAGGTTTTAACCCGAAACAACTCTAACCGACTCGTCTCAACCACAGGATTCTGTAGAAATTTTGAAAAAATTGGTGGAATCCCCCTTTAACATTTGTTAAGGACATGCAGATGCCCCCTGACACTCATCTGCAAATATGGCTCTCTCAAGAACAACAAATTAAGAGTCTTTTTAAGCAAACAAAATTGGTTCTTCTATGCCGTCGCTCCACAGAACCCTTTTTGGCACCTTTATTAAGAGACTTAGAGGGTCTTATAATTATATGTGGGACTATAAATTCACTAAACATGTGCGATTAGTCAACACTGTACTCTGTATCACTTGATTCTTAAAACCACATTATGTACACAGTGGTCTCAGCAGAGTCTCTGCCAGCTGGCTCAGCTGCTCTGCTGTAGCTCTGTGGCCCCACCTTGTGGCCGGATGCGTGAATAGCACCTCATGATGCAGTTAATGCAGCTGACACATTAGGACCATTGAGATCTTGATGGTTTTGAGACCAGAAGGTCCAAATAGTGGTTTGAGTTGCGTTTATTATCAATAGAACTCTAATATTTTAGACGAGGGCCGAGAGAAGAGCGGAGAACTCGCTCTGCTGCCGAATGATTGACACTAAAGCGAATGTCTGGACGTATGTGATTGAATGAGGGAAGTGTTGTAGGCCTACTTTGAGGGTTTTTCTGTGTTGGTTTGAATTAATTTATTTGAGAAAGGAGTCGTTTTGGTCTGTGATTGTGGGTAAACGGTATGTGTTGAATGTGGAGGAGACGATATTAGTATCTAACCCTAGTTTGGTGTTGGTTTTGGAGGCTTTATTGTACAGTATGTCAATGTAAAGCTTTGATTGGGAATTATTAGTTTGGGAATTAGAAGATGATTGAGATGATTGACGGAAAGCATGGGGCGCAAGCCTGCAGAGAAAACTGTAATTCCTAATTGGAGCTTTAAAGATCTGAAAGGTGTTTTGGGCCCTAAAAAGACCCATATTATGTTGAGAGGATGATGATGATGTTTAATGTGTCTGATTTTTGCCTGAAGGACTGCAAATAGGATTACTTTTAACCCATTAATGTTCATATCTGAATTGAAATGCTGGTCTATATGTTCTCTGAGCACAAATCTGAAGAAATTTTACTAAGATGTGGCTTTTTATCACTTCATTTGTCCAGGAACTTCTGATTTTTAACAAAACAATAGAAAATCCAAATTTGACGTTGAATAAAACTGCATTGAATGGCGCGAAGTTTGTAGACGCCAGCATTTCGTCTGAAATGAAGGGTATTAATAGTGAATTTGTCCTTCTTTGCTGCAGTAACAGCCTCTACTCTTCTGGGAAGGCTTTACACTAGATGTTGAACATTGCTGTGAGGATTTGATTGAACATTAGTGAGGTCAGGTACTGATGTTGGATGGTCAGTTCTGGATCACTCCAGCTCATCCCAAAGGTATTGGATGGAGCTCCATCACTCCAGAGAACGCAGCTCCACTGCTCCACAGCCCAGTGCTGGGAGGCTTTATACCCCTCCAGCCGACGCTTGGCATTGCGCATGGTGACCTCAGGCTCATGTGCAGCTGCTTATTCTATTTGTCAATGTTTTCCAATGAAGATCGCACAGCTGACCGCCTGTATCGCCAGCGGGTGACCTTAAAGTACATACTTAAAAGAGATGGTCCTTCAAGGGTTCTTTAATAAAGAGAACAA